TATATATATACAAGTAATAATATATATAATATATATATATATATATATATATATATATATATATATATATATATTAGTGTGTGTGTGTGTGTGTGTGTGTGTGTGTGTGTGTGTGTGTGTGTGTGTGTGTGTGTGTGTGTGCGTGTGTGTGTGTATACGTACGAGTACAGGTAGGTTTTCTGGTTGTGACCCCAGACGAATGCTGCGTCTATGCTTCTGACGTCGGCAGGGAGTCCAAGGTCAGTCAGCGGTCGCGGGAAGCTGGGAAGTGGACCGCTGTTGTCATTATAAACCCAGAAGCGATCGCCTGCAACGATAACCAATAACCCGTGGTGAGAATCGATCATAAAATCAATCGGCTATAATTACTAGCAAACCTACTCACTATCAGACATATGCCACACATACATGCAGACTCATCAATATCAATTATTTCCCTCTAACTATTATTAGTGCGTGTGTGCGTGCGTGTGTATGTGTGTGCATGCGTGCGTGTGTGTGCGTGTGTGCGTGTGCGTGTGTACATGTGTGTGCGAGCGACTGCAGCGCCGCGTGGTGGGCAGTACCGATGAAGAAGATGATGGCGCCATCGGTGCTCCGCTGGTACACGGCGTCCATTTTTTCGTCTGGCAATCCGCGCCAAAACTCACTCGTCTTCTGATAGATCGGCTCCCTATCACCGTACCTGCTCTCGTAGACACCTGGTGCCGTCATGCGATAAAAATACTGAAACAGTCGAGATTAATACGATGTTATATATATATATATATATATACATATATATGTATACACACACAAACACAAACACACACACACACACACACACACACACACACACACACACACACACACACACACATTTATTTATTTAACTGTGTGAGATTTATGGCTCACAAAACTCCATGAAGGAAAGAAGCTGTTTTAATTATATTTTTTAATAAAACTAATAAAAAACGAATAAAAACTATAAAACAGACATACATCATAAACAAAACAAAAAACTGCAATACTATTTCAAGAAGTCAATGCTCTGCCTGCCCAATATCCTTATTGATATCTGCTCGCCATCCTCACTGACCCACAACTTTGTTTTTATTAACACATACGTTAGTAATAATCGCTCCACAGAAATCGGAATCGGGATGTTCACTTGTCCGTTATAGTAAAGCAAGTGAACATCGCTGAGTAGAAAGCAGCGATCTAACCTTTCCGCTGTACACATGCAGCTCTGTCCTAACCACCGCCACTGCATCAAAGGTGGCGCTGCATCTGCTAGGCGTGCCGCTAGGTGGCGGTGTTGTTGTTGTCGTCGTCGTCGGCGGCGTGCGGCCGGAGCTGCGTCGTGTGGAGTACGTGAGTCGTGTGTACGGGGGCCTAGTGATATACGGCGCTCTGGTGGTCGTAATCCGCTGCGGCGTCTTGGGAGGACCTGAGGTGTGAGCGCAGGGTAAGAGGGGGAGAGACAGTGAAAGTGACACAATAAAAAAAACGAATCGGTGACTTAGAGATGCCATACCCTAGAATATTACATGTATTTTTTTATGTATGTCACGTGTCTCTTCAAGATCCGTCTTGATAAACAACCTTATGGGTGTTTATTTTTCTTATATTTATCTTAAACTGAATACTTCTAACTAATCTCTCTACTCTCTACTCTAACTAAATAACGAAGAATAATTAATTAATAATCAACCTTAGTACCTAACCATTGCTATCTTACACGGATAGCTGTTGTTGCATGTGCGCGCGTGCGTGCGTGCGTGCGTGCGTGCGTGCATGCGGGTGTATGTACAACCCTGGCGCTCACCGTAAAGTGCCTGTATGCCCCGCGTGTCATCGTACGGCAGATTGTCGCGGTAACCTTGGTAATAAGGAAACATCAGAGCATCCTGGTTGTTGGAGTGATCCAGCCCCAGACTGTGACCGAATTCATGGGCCGCCACAGCGAGAAAATGTACGCCTGCCATTGGAGGACATACGTCACGTGACGATACCAACAATGTTTACATCACTGCACAAGTTTACCAACAACGGATGTATATCCGGACGTAAATAAAAGCTATAAATTCGTAATAAACTCGAAATAAAATGAATAATTATAATAAATATTTATACCAATATATATATATAATATATATATAAAAATTTCTTCCAAATATTATTTCCGCCAGAGTTTTCGATGTATACTGACGTAGTTTCATAACAAGCCATCAGTCATGTTAAATCTCATGCACACCAGATGGTACGTCACGACGTCACGTGACAGCGTCGAGTGGCGCCCTCTACCTTTGTCTTCGTCTAAGCTCCATGGTTCGTCTTCGTCGAAGTGAGCATCTCCTCCTATCTCCTCCCCGGGGTAGAACGCATGCGCCAACACACCGGACTTACCGTCAAACGGGTATTCATCCCCGTGATGGCCTGCAGGGAGGACGAGTAATACAATATATATATATATTTGTCACATATAGAGACAACATATACCGAAGCAGTAACAGCAGTAATAGTAGTAGTAGTAGTAGTAGTAGTAGTAGTAGTAGTAGTAGTAGTAGTAGTAGTAGCAGTAGTAGCAGTAGCAGTAGTAGCAGCAGCAGCAGCAGTAGCAGTCACCTTGTCTAGCTGCTTGCGGAGTATCGGTACAGCTGGAGCCACGACATGACAGTTGTGGCCGCCTATGTTGGGCGCCATCTTGTGCACGAAGACGCCATTATCTGTCATCGTCTTCAGCAGCCTATCCATGGATTGCGACGTACCGCTGATGATGCCTCCCTCAGTGCTGCCATCTATCACCAGCTTGATGTCACGTGGTAGCATCGTCTCTAGATCGCTGGGAGGAATGGCTGTGGATGGTGTCGCGAAATTAACGATGTAAAGAATCAATGGAATTCGATTAATTTAACCCAATAAGCAATAGATCGATGAATCGAAGGATAGAAACGATACGAGTACGATAACATAGAGAGGGGGAGGTTAATTTCGGTAGGCGGAATTGCGCTACTTTTATTATTGGGGAACCGGGATCTACCAGATAAATTTTTTAATTTTAGGTTTTTTAATATTCAAACCAACTTGGAACTGCGATCTATTTTAAATGGGAACTGAGAACTGGCATAGAACATATAATATGGCAAACACATATTTTTACACGTGGGACTCTGGGAATAGACTCCCCGCCATCGTCATTCAACAATAGAACAGCGGTTACCAACAAATGCCGTGTAACATGGCGGCACGTCGGCATCAAGCAGACACTTGGTTCTCCAGTAGGAGCACAGCAGCGCCTCCTTGCGGCTCAGACATCCGTCGACGTAACCGCACGTCAGCTCTCCCATCGAGATTCCGGTCAGCATGTCCGGTTCAATCCCGAAGGATCGCAGAGTATCCACCAGGGCTATCTAAGACGCCATCATGCGGCAAGAAATAGAATTATTGCAACGTAGACTCGTGAAGAAGTAAAACCATTCTTTACACCGCGGTAAAACACACGAGGTGGCGCTAGCGTTGCGCGCATGCGCTCTGTACCACTCTGACGTATGGCATGACGTCACAGAACATACCTGCATACCGACGCTGGCGATAGACTGGTTGACATAACATTCGAATGCCTCATCCTCGGCGGTGGTGACCAGGTCAAGTAGGTGGACGTCGGCGTCTCCCAGACTTTCTCTCAGTACGAGGTTAGACTTGAGCAGAGACATGTGGAACGGGTCCAGCTTGAGCATGTCACGTGCCATTCCTGGCCAGACGATGTCACGGTTCAACCCCCAGAACCAGAAGCAGACGGGGCGCTGAGTGGCGCGCCCTCTACCGGAGTCTTCCTGCGATAATATTTCAGACAGAATCAATAGCGTATTAGTTCCAAGAAGGACTTAAAATTTTGTTTATTGTTTTTTTCGTTTACATATGAATCGAAAAACGTCAAAATGAGAGTTAACATTGAGTCTTGTTACAATAATAACGTAGCATGACGATGATGATGATGATGATAATGATGATGGCGATGACGACGACGATGATGATGACAGCATTTTGTGTACTTACTTCTAGCTTGCTGGAGAATTTCCGTGACGTAATCAAGCCTGCCCACACGCCGTTATTGCAACCACGAGAGGGGCGCCACCTAGTGGCCTGCCATCGTCAGTAAGCAGAATAGAATAACAGCAACTATTGTTATTATTATTATTATTACTACTACAATTATATTATTATTATTATTATTATTATTATTATTATTATTATTAGCCAATCTTCTCGACTATTTCATTCGGATCTTTGCTAATATTCGTAGGGTTTTGTCGAAACATACGAAATGATAAAACGAGCTTACCAAAATCTGATGCTAGGATAGAGAAAGAGAGACGGTGAGGGACAGAGGAAAGAGGGCAAGGGACAGAGGAGAGAAGGGGAGGGACAGAGGAGAGAGGGGAAGGAAGAGGATAGAAGGAACAGA